TTTCCCTAGGGAAGCACAGTATTAGACAGACTGGCATCTCCTCACCTCACACAGGCAGTCAGTGGGATACATAATAGTTCTCACTCACACCGAAAACAAATGAAAACCACTGCCTGGCATAAGGAAAGCCTTACGTGCATTCCAGCAGTAACACAGCCTACTGCATTAACATTAATTAGTTACTAGTGATCACTCATTGACACCATGGATTTATTTAAGCATGGCTTCATGATTCATCCATGAGGAAAAAAAAAAAAAGAATTAACATGGTTGCTATGGCCTGTGATATATAACCAACTAGATATGACATAATAAATCATTCTTTGTTTCAGAGCTGCTTTTCCTTGCTAACATGCTTGATCCTCCCAACCTCTCCTTCTATTTTTCTCTACTTGTTTTGCTCTAGGTTCATACTTTGATTTATGCAGCCTACCTGAAGGCAACAGGCTTACCACTGTGCGTGTACATCATTCTGTTGTTCACATGTCAGCAAGCTGTGTCATTTGCTCGTGGTTACTGGCTCAGTAGGTGGACAGATGACCCTGTCCATAACGGGACACAGCAGCATACAGAGCTGAGAGTCGGAGTCTTTGGTGCACTAGGAGTCATTCAAGGTTTGTTTAACTTGTTCACCTAATTCTTCTCTGTATTTTCATCTCCCTTTCCCATACCCAGGATGTTTTCTCAGAATATAAACAAGTGCATACCCATGGGCTCATAGTCTCCTGGGCTTTTGGCAACCAGCCCTAAAGGTTTAGCATGGGACTTAAAACTACAGGCTCTGATGCACAGAGAGGATTTCTAAGGATTCTGAACAATAATTCCAGTATTACTGCCTGAAATTCTACTTCATAGTATGCTAGAAGTGTTCTCCTGTGCCTTTCAGCAGACCATGATAAATAGTGTCTTCCGCTATCTTTCCTGCTAGAACTAAATGAGCTGAGCCTCTAAAAACATTCAGCAACGGAAAAACTACAATATCCTTATTTTTCTATCCTGCCCCCTTATATCCAGCATCTTCTGCATATCTTTCTTCCTTTTATCCCTTTCCATTACTCCAATATAAATGAACCTCATCAAAGTGCAAGTGGTGGCTCTTCTCCATGCTGAATTAAATCTTGGTTTAGATCTTTTGAGTGAAAAAGAGCAAAAGAGGAAGTGGTGGAATTCTATGTTTCTTTAAATCTTTCTCTTTAAAAATGGCCACAGTTCTTTTGGTCACTCTTAACAGAGGCAGCCCTGACAAGGTAAAAAAAAAAAAAAAAAAAAAAGAAATTAATTGTTTTAGGACAGAAATCAAATCTGGAAAAATCTCAGTCCAGATGACAAAAGGTTGAGACAGTGTTGAAAAAGAGTGAAAAGGGTTGGCTACCCTTCTCTGCTAACAGTGGATCTGGAAACAGGAAACCTAAGACTTCGAGTCATTCAAAGTAACTCCAGTCAGGCTCATTTTGTGAAGAATAAAGAATTTGTCCTGTGTGTTTAAGTTGCTGAATCCATGCCCCCCATCAAGCTTGCTTAGAAGGCCTTCTGCCCCTCTGTAACTACCCGACAGAAAGGGTAGTTCACCCTGCAGCTCTCAGGCTTGGCTTTATTGCTACCAAAAAGAAAGTCCGCTCCTTTCACTCATATAGCATTCGCAGTACTAAGCGAAAATGATGATCTCGCAAAGGGGAAGTCCAGGGTGAGTTTGTTCAAACCTAGTAATAATTATTACTTTTTATGTTACAGCCCTTGGCAGATTTGCCTCCACAGCAGCAGTCCTCCTAGGTGGTGTGTTAGCATCGCACAAGCTGTTTCTCCAGTTGCTGAGGAACGTTGCTAGATCCCCAATGGGCTTCTTTGAGCAAACGCCCATTGGAAACTTGCGGACCCGCTTCTCCAGAGAAATGGATGCTATTGATTGCGTCATCCCTGACAAGCTGAAGTCCTTGCTGGGATTCTTGTTCAACTTGCTGGAGATCTACCTTGTGATTATAGTGGCTACACCAAGGGCAGCAATGGCCATTGTGCCCTTGACTGTTCTTTATGCTGTATTCCAGGTAGGAGCTCATAGAGATACACAGCCTCAGGAGAGGCTGAAGCAGCATGGCTATGTCCCTGCAGAAAGCCTCCTTCCATTACTTAGGAAGAGAGACATGCAGAAACTAGTTTCAGCATCTCAGATTGCACCTGTACAAGAATAATATCAGTGGCTCTTCTCACATTACCTCAGCCTTCCGAAGCATCCCAGAGACCTCACAAAGAGGCTTCTGCTTTTCTGATGTCTAGATCAGATCCCACCTAGAGCTATATTCCTTCTCTCCATTACTGTAAATTAGATCATATTAAGACCAAAGGCATTTTTCCTTTCCTCCAAAATTCCAATACTGGTTTTTAATATATCCATGTATGCCATGCAGCTTTCCCTTCAGGCTATGAAACCTCAAATGCTTTGCCAGCTAAGACTGAACATGAGGAAAGTATAAATAGGGGTGCAAGTATGCCTCTGTTCTTCATCAAGCAAAGGGCTGGTCTACAGGAGAAAGGAAGTGTGAGTTAAGAGGCTTTGTGAGTTCAGAGTACCCTGGCTTCTTTGCATTAACTAACCATGGGGTTATTCTTAATGAACATAGGGCATAACACAGGCAGAAATGCTACCTCAACCTTTTAAGGATATCTCCTACCTGTACGTTAGATTTTATAACACTAGGACAGTACGCGCTATTACACTTGAGTCCTTCCCACATTTTCAGTGAAGCACCTCCAAGGAAGCATAAACCCTCTGATCACTTCCCCTTCAATTTCCCTTTGTGCCAGCACTTCTACGTCATCACCTCCTGCCAGCTGAGACGCATAGAGGCTGCCAGCAGGTCACCCATCTACTCCCACATTTCAGAAACTTTCCAAGGGAGCAGCGTGATCCGTGCTTACAAGGACCAGAAGAGGTTTACTCTGAAGAGCAATTTTCTAGTGGATGAGAATCAGCGAGTATGCTTCCCTGGAGCAGTTGCTGACAGGTACAAATCTGCAGTGTAAAGAAAATGATAGGTTACTCCCATGGCCTTGGTGAGCAGAGATGGCTGCTCTTGAGGCTTTGCTGAAGGTACACAGAAAATGAGACAGTGGTGCACAGAGTTTTGGGGGTAGGATAGCACCTTTCATTATCACTCGCACTGTGCCCCTTTCTGGCAATGTGCCCCTCACACAACCAATATGCTCCCATCTCTGTTGTGTGGCTAGGCACACACACATGCTGACACACTGCTAGAGTTATCACTACCTCACGTGCGTCCAAAATGCAGGAAGCTGTAGTGCATGTCTGGTGAGGTCTATCATCTCATGACAGAGTGCGCAAGGCCTGTGGTATATGCAGAACCCATGAGATGATAGAGCCATCAGCCACTGGTCATGAAACAGGTGAGGAGTACCTGAAGGAGTGAGAGAGGTTAGACCAACTCATCCAAGAAACTGTGTGCTGGCTGCTCTCATGCAACAGGCCTTGGAAAAAATCCTAATAGAGACCATAAGCCAGCCAGTTCAGACAGACTGGACCCACTCAGGAGCTCCAAAGTGGCAGGATAAGAACAACCAGGGTGTGACAAGAACTTTGTTGAGCATCTTGTACCCCCACAGCTCCACAAGTGTTTTGCAAAGAAATCACAGACTCTGTTGGGAAAAATTAAGAGAGCACCCAGCAAGAGCCCTCTACTCTCCTGTTCTTGCAGGTGGCTTGCTACAAACCTGGAGTTTCTAGGCAATGGCATCGTATTGTTTGCAGCACTGTTTGCAGCAATAGGCAGAACACATCTTAGCCCAGGAACTGCTGGCTTCTCCATTTCATGTGCTCTTCAGGTAACTCAGTGTTAAAGTAATACTATGCTTGCCTTTTCATGAAAAGCAACTTGCATTTTAATTTCTGCTACCATTTTAATTTCTAAGAAATCATGAACTGTTTCTGTGGCTTTCTCCTTCTCCTACCAAACCCTGCTGTCACTGCTAAAACCCAGAGCATCTGGAGCACATGGCCCCTTAGAGAATGAACCTCATAAACACATGCACCAGCCATCTTTTTCCTCCTGCATCTGAACTCATACTTAAGTCACAGCTTGCTCTGAGCAACTGAGGCAGTGTCTTCAGCATCTTTCTTACCTGCTTCTAGACTAGTTACACAACAGCCTAAGAAATAGGCTAGGCTCTTTAAACACAGCTTCACAAAAATTTCACAAGGATCCATGGTTATTTTTTAGCCTTTTAAGGGATGATTGCTGAAGTAATTACCTGATGAGGTGGTCTTTATAAATAAACACTAAGACAAAGTACCAGGTGCCTTGGAAGCACAGGTCAGCGTTTACTTTGCCCTAATGCTTCTGTTTCTTTCTGCTAGATAACTGGTGTGCTGAACTGGATGGTGCGCTCCTGGACAGAAATAGAGAACAACATTGTTTCTGTGGAGAGAGTGAGAGAATACCTGAGGACTCCTAAGGAGGTAGCTAACCAATTATTGACCTTACCAGCAGAGGTGAACATGTCTGCACACTAAATGACTAACTTTTCTGTTTCACCTGGACAAACCCCCTACTTTTCCCCTTCTAAAAGACCAGTTGTTTCCTTTGAAGAACTGCAGCATTTGTTTTTTATGCAGCTTGACTAGACTTGTTTTATAACCTCTGATCACCACTATTTGATTAGACAGTTAAGCTATTAAAATAGCTTCACTTGATAACACTAATGGAATGAGCCTTATTTTCTGCCCATGTTTGGAGTATGTATTTATTGTGTGAGTTCAGATGCAACTCTGACAACTGATGGCTGCTAGATAGCCTTTTAGCCACTAAAATTCTCCAGTGCAGCCATTTTTGGTTGCATAATCATTAAAATGATTTCTCCATATGCTGCCCTGAAATCCTACTAAAAGAGACTTTCACAGTCCTGTTTACAGGGGCATATAAATCTTTTTTTATTGAACCAGTCATAATGTCAGAACTCTGACATGCAAACAAATGTTTATCCCCATTTTCAATTAACACGAATGGTATCTTTACATAAAGGAAGAAGTCGTCGACATTTGCAATATAAAGGTTAGAAGCCTTTTTCTCTTTTGGAAACAGTGAACAGATCCAGGGAATCTGGTACAGATGTCTTCATAAGCTTCCCATTTCAGTATGGCCACTTGACTTCATAATTCAAATTAGCTTTATACATTGCTGTTTGTTTTCATCTGTTTAGGCACCCTGGACTATGAATGCAAAACTTCAAGGTCAAGTTTGGCTCACTGAAGGAAGAATTGAATTTAGAAACTATAGTTTGCGATATAGGCCAAATGTGGCGTTAGCACTGAAGCATGTCAATCTAACCATCAATGGTCAAGAGAAGGTAAGAAAGCCACTTGGTTCGGAAGAGACACAACGAGTTTTTTTTATCTGGGCAGATACAGTCCCTGCCCTACCCCAGGGCATAGTAACTTGTAAGCGTGAAAGCTGCAGTGAGGTATGAGCCCATCTATCACACTGCACACCTCTTCTAGTAAAAAGTAGTGTTCCTGGGATTGCTGAATACAGTAGATATTCTTCTGAGTAAAACTTCATTTCACAGGAGGTTAGCAGAGTTACAACAAAGGAATTTCACTTTTAAATCTAGTGCCACATCAAGGCCCTGTTCTAGCTGCTAAGTCATGTAGTTGTTCTTCCCATCAAAGGCTTTCAATATTCCTTTTCATACAAAACAATTACAAATTATTCCCTTTAAGAATGTATTGTTAGACCACGTGAATCTTGAGCAGCCCTGAAGATTTGATCCATGCAAAGCTGTGTCTCTTCAGAAGGCCAAGAGAAACTACGTGACGGATCTGTCCAAGTGTGGAATATGATGACCATCAAAACCAAAAGCTTTCCATTGCACTTCACAGATCGGCATAACTGGAAGAACAGGCGCTGGGAAATCTACATTTGCTGTGGGATTGCTGCGACTCGTGGAAGCTGCTGAAGGAGCAATCCTAATTGATGGACACGATATTGCTCAACTAGGTCTCCATGACCTTAGAAGCAAGATAACTGTCATTCCCCAGGTATGAAATTAATTTCCAAAATGCTTCAGCAGTGTTGTAAGTCTTAACACCTAGAAAGGGTTTATAAAGATTGTGTGAGAGAAGTGACATTCAGAAATTTCGGCGGTGGAAATAACCGCTATGTCATGCTAGTCTCCCATTCAACATAAACATTAGCCACAGATTTGCAACCAGCAGGGAAGACCAGAGAGCTTGTTTTTATAATTCTTTTCAGGAATTGTTTGTACTGTCTCTGTGCTCAGGATCCAGTTTTGTTTTCTGGCTCTCTAAGAATGAATCTCGACCCATTAAACCGATACACTGATGCAGACATCTGGACAGCCTTGGAACTGACTCAGCTCAAGGACTTTGTTGCAGAATTGCCAGATCAGTTGGAATATGAGTGCACTGACCAAGGGGAAAACCTAAGGTACCTTATCTGAAAAAAACAGTGGGCCTGTGGGATAGGAGAACATACAGCTAGTGGGAAAAGGAGCCAATTCATTAAAAAAAAAAAATGATGCCCTAACAGCAAATTGCTGATGTATTGTCCTGCTTAGCAGCATGAAATCAGATCATAAGACACCAAGTGGAAGACCTTCAAGACTTAATCATTGTGGTGGCTTCTGTTTGTGCAGTACTTAAAACACTAGAATCCTGTTCCAACTGCAGATCTGGGCACTATATAGTAATACACTCTCTTCATTTCCTTAGGTTGTTTCAAATTGTCACCTGCAGTGCCACCAGCCTCAATCACCCTTTCAAGAAACAGGAACAATCACCTTTTCATTACTATTTTCAAATTAGTCACGTATTCTGACCCCAGCGAAAAGTGACTACTGCTCTCAGTTTACCATCTTTCCTCTTACTTGCAGCACTGGTCAGAAACAACTGGTTTGTCTGGCTAGAGCACTTCTTCGGAAAGCCAAAATCCTCATTCTGGATGAGGCCACAGCAGCAGTAGATTCAGAAACTGATCTTCAGATTCAGTCCACCCTGAGGACTCAGTTCAAAGACAGCACAGTGTTAACAATAGCTCACCGGATAAACACCATCATGGACTGTGACAGGTAATATCTTCATCCACTTTCCTAAGAGGGAAGGAAGACACAGGCAACCTGTGTGAACTAGACAAGCCACACAGTGTTAGTGAACAGTAATTTCATTTCTGTCCTTTTCTTGTTTAACCCTCAAAGCTTTGCTTTACGGACTGTAGGAGCTATCTCGTATCAGCTAGGCACCAGTAGGTTTATCAAAGATCATTTATTCCCATGGGATGTATTTCATGCTGTCATAGCTCCCCCCTAGCAAAACCATGGCTACAGCGATTTGCTTCATCTTAACATTGTGAAGCTAAAATACGTATTCACAAATCTTACTCCAGTCCCAGTTGCCAAAGAATTCACCTCCTACAAACTCAGTACCTAACGTCACTCATCAGAGACCTATTTCTAATCCCACAGCTGTTTCCCAGCTGAAAAGCTGCTGGAAAGCTTGGCTGAATAACAAGTACTGAAATTGATTTTTAGAAATACGTAGAGCTAAGTTTATTACAGCTGCTGGTGCATCCCCAAGCTTACACGTCTGTTTTAACATTCACAGGATTTTAGTCTTGGAAAACGGTCGGATAGCTGAATTTGACACTCTGGAACACTTAATAGCTCAGAAGGGACTGTTTTACAGACTGATGGAAGAATCAGGCCTTGCATGACTCAGAGTATACCATAATGCCACTACTATCAGGAGTAATTGATCTCTTAATTGAGTTATCTTGGTTTCACTCTAAAATGCCTGACGCTTAATCAAATGTTGTCTGAGCTATAACCACAGCGAGTAGATTAAAAGGAATTACTCGGGATACACGTTATTTCCATCGGAAACTTAGTAATTCCATTTTCATTATGTTTCCACATACCAAAACCTCAAGTCTTCCGTTGAAAGTGAGCCAGTCAGAACTTAAAAAACCTTGTTGCTTTTATGGTATAAAAGCAAACAAGCCAAAAGAAAAAGACCACTGCATTTCCAATTTGTACTATAAATGGAGCCCAAATATACTGCCATGGTTAAAGATTACAGAGATTATTTTTAACAGCCAACAAGATTTTATGGACAGCAAGGAACAATTTAACTGGTAGCAAGCCAACTTAAATGTTTACAGCTTGTCCTAAGTTCCAGGCAGAACAAATTTAGTCTTTTGCCAGTGTCTTAAGGACTGCTCACCGGAGCACCGCTCTTACTCAGACATGGTGGACTCCAAGGCAGCAGCTGGATCTAGTCACCCTAAGTGCACCAACAAGGTGGGGTGTATCATAGCAGGGAAGGGGGATGTCGCTAGCAGTAGGAGTAGGGAAAAGGAAGTGGGATGTCACTAAGCGTGAGAGCATACGGCTGCCTGTCATTGCAGCTGGGGCTCAGATCCAGTCCATCTCCTTCTGTGTCAGCTTTGGGAGGGGCCTCGAGTGAACCGTGCTGTGCAGAGGGCTGACAGATGGCCTGGAGGAAGACAGCCAGCTGGGGCACCGGCTCGCTGCCGCAGGAGAGAGTAACTTGGCTGTGAGTGGGCAGCAGAGCATTGTGCCTTCTGCTTGAAGGCTTGGAGTGGCCCTGCTGCCAAATGCCAGCTGGTCACAGTGGAGCATGTCCAAATTCTGATGCCAACATTTACAAATTGAATTTGGCTACAAGGAATTTGCGTGGTGGAAAGTGTCCTCTGATCCCTGCACTGTGGCAGTCTGGCAGATGGGGAAAGTAGCAGGGGCTCACCTGTTGAGCTGGTGGTTCATTCCTAGTTTTCTTCTCGAGTGGAAGTTCACCTCCTGCATGTGCCACCCTGGCATTGCAGAGCCTCTGGCATGGTCATCTTTCAGATGTTACTTTAACAAACTAAACTGCCAGCTCAAAGCAAAGCCTTCCTGGGCTTCCTGCAATGCCAAGGAGCAGCAGCCAGAGCTGCCCCCAAGTCTCTCAGGAATCGCAACAAGAAAATGTGACAAACAAATCACACTGTGAGATACTGCTGTTTACTGTGACTTTTGTTAATTTTGTTCATTTTCTAGAAAGCCGTAATAAAAATACAATCAAGTATTGAAATGGGTCTCTTCAGTAAGCTGAAGTAAATACAGTATCGAAAGGAGTAATGGGGGAGGGATGGGAGAGTTCAAACCAGCAAGAGTCAACCCAGACCAGGAAAACCCAGTAGTTTCTTCTCCGACAGATGTTCAGTAGCTTCTTCACCCACATTAAGAGCAAGCAGTTAACAGTTTCTGCTGGACAAGCGCTTAAGATACCAAAGTCCAATAGCGTATAAAACTGGGAGAACACAGCGATGTGTATTAACAACCACATCATTGAAAAAGAACAAGACTGAAGCACACACAAAGAGCAGTCTTCCGACTCCTTGCTGCACTATTTAGAAGGTTATCCTACAAAATACAGCATTTTGGACACACAGAGTTCCCCAAATGATCACAAATGGCCCATGAATAGGTCAGAGAAGATCCAGTGACACCCAGTTTGAGACTGCCAATGCAGTTATCCTTGTTTGGTCATTTCTAACACAGACAACTACACTGCAAACATTTTACACAGTGGGAGCATAATTCTGCAAGTTCTGTATTTCAAACAAACCACGCTCCTAAGTGCAGTTCCACTGTTTTCAAAGGACTTACATGAATATGTTAAGGCTTGTAAATCTCTGTTAATCAGTGTGCAATGGAAAGCACCACTTCCTCAAATCTGAAATTATTTTCTACCAAAGTAAGAACTCCAGCAGTGCAACTTCCTTTGAATCAATCCTAGACCTGCAGAGTACTTGCAGAGTCCCCAACTCAGTGAGCTACACTAATATCATGAGATTTTTCAAAGGTATTTGAAATCCTGTCAGAATTTCATCACTGGACATTCTCCGCAGCTCTGCCTTGAGGAAGGTGTTGGTGATAAGTAGTTTGCACAGGCAAGGAGAGAGCACAGGGAGCTTTACTGTCTGGTTGTCCGATTCCAGCAGTCCGTCCCCTCTTTCCTTCCCAGGGCTCTCCTAGGAGTCGGTGGAAGGATCACAAAGTGTTCCTAAGCTGGAAAGGTCTCACGGTGGTATTCACAGTTCCTCCTGTGGGTCTCCTCTGCATATAGATCTGTCTCCATTTTACTGCAGCTGAGTAAGAACAATACCAGCCACACACCTTACCTGATAAGCTTGTTTCTCTGCTCTCTACTCTGTTCCTTACTGACTGTTTGCTCCAATCTCTTCACCCTTCTGTCCATCATAATGCTGCGTGCTAGGTGATTTGAAAAAACAAAACCTACTGCTCCTCCCCAAACTCTCACATCACCCCTTGCCTATTGCATTTCCACAGAGGAAGTCAACAACGAAGCTGCTCAGGAAACATGGTAGACAGTAGGCCATGGACACCATGGGTATGACAAAGGTCCACAGCACTGCTGAATCCTGCTCTACTGATCCATTGTTATCACCTGGTCTGCTCAAACTGCAGCACTCAAATTACAAGAGAAACCACGAGATGTGATCCAGACCTACCACAGCACACAGTTATTTGTACTCAAGTTTTCTTACCCACACTAACAACCCCCCTAGACATCAGGCCTCGCAGCCTGGCTAGTCTACACAGTACCAATAATTTCTATTTTGAAGGCAAAAACCTGAAATGCCAAAGCTAATGCTCTGTCAAATACAAAGTCAGAAATGACACATCATATTATCTTTCAAACAATTTTTTTACTGCAAGTTCTTTGCAAATATTTGTATAGTCATTACAAAAAATACCAAAGAAAATTTCAGTCTATTCAATTTCAGAGAGTCATAATTTACAAAAAAAAATAAATAGCTTTACTCTAAAGAAAACAAATTTCTAGTATTAAGGTCAGCAATATCATTCACAGAAGTCCACATTCTCAGAGTGCTGAGTACAGGGTCCATCTGACTCAGTTTGCCTTCTTCCAGCATTTTCCTTTAAAATAAGACTAATCAGAACATGAAAAAAGTAAATTCATTTCTTCCCACAGAAAACTGAACATTCAACATAGATCTTGAAAACCAGACTCCACTGCTAATGGAATTGTTAGACCCCTCTGACACAGAACTTTAAACAGTAAACCTGTTTTTTTAAACAACTTTAACAGAACAATTTCCCACAAAATTTAGGAGTCAACAGCAGCAGCATAAAGGGCATGTTTCTTCGATATAAGGCTAATAGTGCTTGATGTGGCAGAGCTTCTATTAAAGCACAGAACTGCCAAAGCCAAAGGGTATTACAATCAAATGTCACGCCGAGCCTGCGACCTCCGCTCAGGCAAATCCTCACTTCTTAGCCTCGCCCCCACAGGTGCACCCAGGATTCGCCACCCATGTCAGAACTCCTGAGTGAACTGGGTGTAAGAGCAGGCACGGCATACTGCAATGCATCAACTGCTGCATGAATTTGGTTTTGAGGGGACTGTCATTCTAGGCATGCTTAAATACTGCTTTGAATTTGACTGTGCTTTTTCACATCAGCATTACTGACATACAGTGAACTTCCTGCTACACACTGTAAACACATGAAACCTGTAGGAGCATTAACCATATACAGTAAATGCCATAATGATAAAGTCTGGCAGACTGTTATTTCACAAGAAGAAAAATCTTTGGACTATAGTACTATATGCCACAAAATGTTCCAAGTGCATCCCACAATAGATGGCTCATCAAATGAGGAATCGGCAAACAAGCAAATAACTAGCATCTGCAAAAAACTTTTAAACAAAAAAAAAAAGGGAGGAGGGGTGCTTCAGAACATAAGAGCAGATGAGAAGAAAAAGTTTTTCTGAACCTCTCTGATGAATCATTCTGCCTTACATTCGAGCATATAACGACAGATTTCAGGCAAAAATTAAAAGTCTCTGAAGTGTTTTGCACAGTGCATGTGCTTCTCTCCTAAAGCTGGATAAAATCAGTACTAAGGAGAATTAAAGAAAAAAATTGCATTTTTATGTTTCTTCCATCACCCTGCTCTGGCTAACTTCACTAGGTCTGAAACTGAACTGTACGGTTCACACCAGCTCAGGGGAATTTACAGTTCTCTGAATGCATCACCTCCCTCTTACCCTTCATGATCTAACCAAGTTCAAATGCTACACCAAGCCTGAATCTTTGGCCATGCTATAGAAAATGCCTTTTTCCTGAAGTAGGTCATCTGGGCTACCACACTCCACCACTTCTCCTCTGTCCAGGACTAAAACTCTGTAAAACAAGGGGAAAAAAAAATGGTCACAAGAAGATCCAAAAAGCCAATGAACACAGCTGTATATGTACAGACAGAAGCTGACTGTAGCGTAGCCACTATATGCAAGTGAACACAGTCCAGGCTGTATGAACACAGAGGTTCTCAACTCTGTCCTTCCTAATCTCATGGCAGATGGTCTGTCTGCTCTATTTTTTGCCTAGCATATGTTTACCTAGTCATTTGCAGGTGGCCATGAGACTTTTGATTGTGGCCAGCCAGAGACTACATGGCAGCACTACTTGGCAAGGTGAGTGAGGGCCCCTAAGACCTTTCAAGGTCTGGGCTAACCTTCCCATAATACTGCACCACATCAGCTGCTGTTACACAGCTTCTGCTGACAAAATACGAACCCAGACATAGCTCACACAAAACAAATGGGCAACTGGAATTGGGAAGTTTACAAAGGAAGTTACCACAGTCAGTAAAGTCAGTT